ATGATGAGAGTTGAAATTCAGATATCTCGACGACCAGGTTTTTTTGGTGTACCATGAAGTAGTTATAGTGCTGTTTTCTCTATGTAAGGTCAGGTCCAGAAAATTAATTTGATAATTTTTTTCAATTTCTAATGTGAATTTTAGTTTTTGGTGAAAGTTATTGAATTCATTTAGTAAAATATCCATTTTATCCTCTGGTGCTGCACTCAAGCAGTCATCTATATAGCGATAGAAAAAAGGTATATAAAAGTCTATTTTGTTTAAAACAATTTCCCCTAGATGCTCTAAAACTAATTGAGCGATGGCACTGGATATGCTAGCACCCATAGCACATCCATCTGTTTGTTGGAAGATTTTGTTTTTATATAGGTAATAGGTTGACTTTAATGTTGTTTCGACTGCTAGCAGAAATTCTTCTAGAGGGATGTGCGAAAGACATTATTAAAAAAAAGTGGAATGAAATCAAAGCGTTCACAGACATCCCTCTTTTTATGAACCTAAGCCCAAGAAAATCAACTAAATATATATATATATATATATATATATATATATATATATATATATATATATATATATATATATACAGTGTAGGTAAAATTTTAAGGTCGGTATGGTAAAATTTAACAGGATATCTAACGCAGATATAAAATCATATTTTCAACGAATTAGACAAAGATAACAATCATATTTCCCCTTCGTCTCCCCTCCTAAAATCCTTTTAACACTCATTGGCCATTGCCCATTAGTGAGACGATTAGTTCCGATCAGATATTCTCTGGTTCCGATCCTAATATACCTAAAAAACTAGAGGTGGGTCTTCTCGTTTTTTTAATTTTTATCGGAACCGTTTTTCGTAAACTGTAACTAGTTGATTGTTTACCAGTATTTAAATTAGCGAGTACACAAACATATTAGCTATTATCGTTTATGTGTATAAGTGTTGAAATAAAAGAACCTAACGAAGGATATATTTATTGTAACTTGAAAAATAAATTAAATAATACAAATGGTACTTAAATAGTTACATTTACATTACACATTATTAAATCGCGAATCGTCTAAATTGACATTTAAAAACATAAGTTTTTCCACTTTTCTTGTTAATCGCGTTCTTCTTTTATTTAAAATTATACCAGATGTTAAACATGTGTTCACAAGGAAAAGATTTTGTTACAATACTACAACATTTTATGAATATAGTGGTTAAGTTACGATATACATGGCGATGGTTTTTTCACCACGGTAATGGACAGTTCCAATCTCCGTTCGAAATTGTTTGTGGGTAATATATCATCAGACAATTACATGTCGACTTCTTTTATACCTCTCGATACAGGTGTATGTTTAGATGAGTCATGTCCAATTAATTCATCAAAAATACACCATGGACTTAAGTCATCTTTATCAGTTTCTTTTTCTTGGACTGATTGATTTTCAAGATTTACTAAACTTTTCGTTTCATCCGTTTTCCATAGTTAAAGAACCAGCTTTTAAAAAGTTTGCAGGTGGATTCCTGGATATAAACCGCCAACAAGAAAAACTTTGTCAGGTTCATTACTTCAGGAATGTTATGTCAAAAGTGAGCAAATTATTAGATCGCAAGTTGTTAAAGAAGTAGAAAATATCTGTATTACTACTGACCTCTGGACATCTGGAGTAACTGAGAGTTACTTCGCATTAACAGAACAATATGTAACCGAAAATTTAGTATTCAAAACTTTTTTATTAGGCTGCTGCCATTTTTCTGGAAACCATAATCCAGAAAACAGCGATTACTGAAATTATTAATCAGTCGGGTCTAAAACGAAAAGTAAATTTTGCAGTAACTGATAATTCCTAAAATATGGTCAAAACTATTAAATATGTTTTGTTTTATGATGATTGTGATTTATGATGATGATTAAATTTATTGGTGGGGGACGCACTTAAATGCTGTCGTGTACAAATAGATAAAATAAAAAGTCCTTTTTTCGACAATTCTGCAAAAAACACATTTCAAAAAAGTACCTTATCTTCAGAAAGGCTTTTAAAGTATTAATTACAACAGAACACAGTTCCCAAACGGCCAATCCAAGACGTGGAAACTAGGTAGAACTTCACCTATTACATGTTAAAAAGAATGACCGAGTTAGAAGAGGCAACCCGTTCCACATTGGTATTAAATAATACAGAGTTAGACTTAAAAATAATCTAAATAAAGAACACTGGATTATTTGTTCTCAACTTTCCCAAATTTTACGGCCGTTTAAAGAAATAACAAGTACAATGAGTGACCAAAAATACTTGAATGCTAGTTCAGTGATTGTTATGGTACGCTGCCTGCAAGAATCTTGCAATAAAATTTTAGCAAACGGCATACTTACATCCATAGTATATGACATAGTACAATTACTAATATCGGGTTTAGCAAAAAGATTTAGAGGGATAGAACAGAGTGGCACATTGTCATTATGTACATTTATGGATTCACGATTTAAAGTGCAGAACAAAACAAAAAGTTAAGAAGCTGGTTACTTCTATAATTAACGAACAAGAAGATTGTACTATTGAAAATCAACCAGTACAAGAAAAAGAAACCAATAAATATGACTTAAGTACATGCAGTATTTTTAATCAATTAATTGGAGATGACTCATCTACACGTACACCTGCATCGAGAGTCCATTACAACGGTGGAAAAACCATCGCCATGTATATCTTAACTTAACCACTATATTCATAAAGTATTGTAAATGTGAACACATGTTCAAAATCTGGTTTAATTTTAAATAAAAAAGAATACGGTTAACAAGAAGTAAAGTAGAAAAACTTATGTTTTTATGTCAATTTAGACTATTCGCGATTTAATAATAACGTGTAATGTAAATGTAAGTCCGATTTACTATTTGTATTGTTTAGTTTAGAACAGAATATTTAAAACAGAATATTTAAAAATTGGAGGAAATACCACAGATCTGAGGCTTGAAAACGCAGTCATAAAAGGCTGCAACCAGTATAAATATCTAGGAAGCATCATATCAGCAGATGGTAGAATTAAGATAGATGTACAAAACCGAATAACCCAAAGGAAAAAATGCATCCGAATACTGAATTCATTACTGTGGTCTAATAAAATAAAGATCCATACCAAACTTCGCGTATACAGAGCAATTGTAGAACCAATTACCACATATGGTGCCGAATGTTGGACGATGACAAAGAATGAACGAGATAAAGTAGACGTTGTGGAAATGGATTATCTTAGAAGGTCATGTCGAGTATCGAGAATGGAAAGAATCAGGAATGAGGAAATACGAAATCGTACAGGAATTAGAGATACTCTTTCAGATAGAATACAAGGAAGGCAATTACAATGGTATGGTCACGTGATGAGAATGGAGGAGGAGCGGTGGCCAAAGAAAGCCTTAATGTATGTTCCGCCAGAAAGAAGGAAAAGGGGAAGACCACCAAATTCCTGGAGAAGAGAAATTACAAAAACAATGCAATCTAGAGGCTTAGAAGAGGGAGATTGGGGAGATAGGAAAAGATGGAGGCTGAAATGCGGGAAGCGGCAATCGCCGTAGGACCCCCGTTATATGATGATGATTGTTTAGTTTATTTTTCAAGTTATAATAAATATATCATTAGATAGTTTCTTTCACTTCAAAAGATATACACATAAACGATAATAGCCGTTATGTTTGTTTATGTAGGTACTATCTTACTTAAAACTACTTTTAAACAATCATAGTTACTTGTTTATGAAAATTAAAATTTTTAAATGCTTTTTAGCATTCAAAAAAATTTAAATTTTTTTGGAATCCTGAGAAAACTAACAAATATTTTTGAAAACTTTAAATGCAGAATGAAAGATTACATTATTACCGAGGGCCGAAGGTCCCTTAGAATAAACAAAAAGTTTTTTTAATGAGATATTTGAAATTAAAAATCACACTAAATTTTGTTTTTTTTTTTTTTCATCCCTATAACTTATTAAAATAAACATTATAGAAGTTTTCAGGGACTTTCAGCTCTCGGTAATAATGTATTGTTTCATTCTGCGTTTAATTTTTTCAAAAATATTTATTAGTTTTCTCAGGATTCGAAAAAAATGAATGCATTTAAAAAACATTGGCCCGAAATTTTGCTCCTACGCTCTTAACGATAAACTAGCACGACCTACCTCTACTTCTCGTTACTCGATCTTTTGACCAGATGACTATCTAGACTAGACGTTGCCAAATAAATTAGTGTATGAATATTTTTTAATTTGGCGTTATTGTATGCATGTTTAATTGTTTATTATTTCATACTGGGAAATTATTTTGATGTTTAGATTTTTAGTTCGGAAATCGTACTTAAAATGCGAAACATTAATAAATTTTATTTATATAAAACGATTTCCGAAATGGAAATCAAAATGTTATATTACAATTATTGTAAAGAAAACTTGTGGCATATTCCCAATAAAAAAACAGTAACCTGCCATTTAAATAAATTTCGCCCAAATTTGATTATCTTGAGCATTTTATCTTCATGATAGAACATTGTTCAAATGCAAAAAAAGACAACAGGTCAAATAAAACCAATAAGTTTGGCAACGTTGAATTTCCCCTTTTTTAATATTTCCATTCGGCGATATAAAGGGCGTACCTAATATACCTCTCTCTTTTTAAACAGCTGTTTCTCACTCCATCTCACGTAAGGTCCATACCGACCATAAAATTTTTCCTACACTGTATATATATATATATATATATATATATATATATATATATATATATATATATATACAGTATATATGTTTAGTCGTGGAACATGCAACAGTTGTTAAAAATTAGATATTCTGAAACTTGCAACAAGCGATCGATTTGATTTCGATCCCCAACTTGCAAAATAAAAATTCGCACAGAAAAAAGATTTTTGAACCGATAAAAATTTTCGCCTCTTTTGTTGATAATTTATAAGTGAATAGGTTTTTACTTTAAGTGCAAACATTTATAGTTTTATATATTTTTCAGTTGGGATGAGACACATTTTGGTAAAATGGGAAGCTGGTATATCAACAGAACCTTTTTCTTCGATGTGCATCCACCATTAGGGAAGGTAATAATAATATTTATTTATTTATTTTTTATTTATGTATTCACAGGATGTGCCCATTTTTACAAAAATTTAACAAATAATAAAACTACTAAAGCTAAACATTAAATAGTGATTAAATAATTAATGAATATTGTGAAACAAATTAAAATAAATTTAATTTTCCTGAAAATCTTATTAAAATGAAATAAATACTTCAAGTTAAAGGTTAGATTTTACATCATCATCATCAAATTCACCAGATTATAAAATTGACTAAAGTCATTTCCCAGTATCTGAATTTTGTTCATAGGAGAGAATTTGCCATAGTTAGTGTGACAGTGTTCTATAGAAAATTCTTGAGTGTCTCTAAGAATTCTAATACTACATATATCAGCAAATAGCAAAAATTGGCAAACCTTTATTACCTAAGAACTATCATATCATCTTCAGAAGAGGACCCATATGTGAATCTTGACAAAGAATGGATAACTGTGTCAAAGCCCTTCCAGAAATCGGCATAAATGGAGTCTACTTGGTATCCATCCTCGAAAGCCCTGATATTGTAATCATCATACAAAACAAGATTTGTAAACATAGATTTACTCTGCCTAAATCCATCTTGCTCAAAGAGATTTCTACAATGTCAAGTGAGAGTTTGCTATTTCCTCACTTGATCAGCTGACAAGTCATTAAAATGCATAACATTTGGAATTCCGTGTCTTTTATTCAAGGATTTTACATTTCGAATTTTTTTTTAATCGTGAGTGAATATATTCTTTAATGTTGGAGATGAAAATATGTAGCATTGATCTGTTAATGCTTTGCGTTGTGTTCTAAGATCTGAAAATAAGATCTAAACAACTGTTGATTGAGTATGTTTGAATCTAACATGAGCAGTTTTTTTTAAATTTACTTCTGGAGAAAACCATCGAAGAAATTTTGAAGATTTATGTTTTTTTTTCGGAACAAAAAATGATATTGCTTTAGAGACTACTTCATAGAATTAGAATTCAGAGATTATTTTACTGAGATATTAAGATTTGAATCATCAAATATAGTATTTCAGTCAACTGAAGGAAAATAATTGTTTAGACCTATAAAATTTGCATTACGATAGTCAAAATATGTAGTATTATAGTTGTTTAACATTACCATTAAAACTAAGATCACAAGTAATTGCCACATGATGAAAGTTTTTAGAAGCAAATTGTCAAATGCCTCGTAGACTGTCAATTCCCGATAATCTTCAATACTGTGGAAAATGAGATCCAAAAATACTCCATGCTGATTTGGTATGTTATTTGATTGCTTCAGGTTTAGGTAAGAGAAGAATTCGCATAGTAGCTTTGCTGGATAGTTTTGTGGTCATTCAACGAGCAAGCACTCTTCATTTCAGTAAACCCAAGAAGCCAGTGGTAAATTGTAGTCGCCAAATAAATATTCAGGTACATCTGGCCTATTGTTTTAATTTTAACTGCCGAGCAATGACTAAAGTAAATATCTTCTGATGAGTTCGGAGGAATGTATACTTTACCCAAGATAACTGATGCACATTCATAATTCATTTGAACAAACAGATACTCAACATTATTAAGGTCTAATTTGATTTGTTTACCTTTAAAATGATTTCGTAACAAAATTAAAACTTCTCCGCGCTGCTTCATACTAGTTCTTAAGTTACGAGCCAATCTGAAAATGTGGTATCCAGAATTTAACAATTCATTATCTGAATAATCTTGATTTAGCGAGGTGTCTACCAGAATGATGACATCGTAGTTGCATTGGGAGATGGAGGTTTAAGTTCATCTAGTGGAGAACGTATTCCTTTAAGATTCTGATAATATATGGACATAGTATTCATTGCGTTTGGATTTTTGAATATTCTTAGTTTAGTTAAATATATAAAGTTTCAAAAGATATTTAAAAAATGTAGAATATTGAAGAATAATTAGAACCACAGAGAAATAGAAAATTAAGGATATCAGGTATTAAGGTACATGCAGAAAATTCAATTAAAATATGGTCATAAAAACTTATGAGTAAATAGTAGTGAGGTACTAGAAGTTTTAGTTGTTGTGAAAAAGATCTTCTCATTGTTCATAATCTTCTTGTTTCTTTTTGAATATTACTACAACTAACACAGCCACGGAGGATTGCGGTACCTAAGGAAAGACAAAACGTTTTAAAAAACAAAAAATGATGTTAATTAATGCCAGACTAGTATAACAAAGATATAAAGGAAAAATCATTGGCAAAACTTGCAACTTAGAAGAAAAGAAAGTAGATGCAAGTGGAAGGCAACTGTAGATACGTATTTCTGACTACTTGGTCGTCATCAGTACGGTGCAGCCAGGTTAAAAAAGGAGCAAATTAACTTGGAAAAGGATCTACAGGAGCCATGCAACCATTTGTGGCAGTACTGTCAGAAGTCCCTGCATTCCAGCCTGGGAGGAAGCTACAGCTACCTGAGAAAAGGATCACCCAGGAGCAGTGTTACCAATTGTGGCAATAATTTCAGAAGACCCTACAGTTCTATAGCTACAACTAACACAGCCCCGAAGGATTGCACTACCTGAGGAACGGAAAGCCAAAACTTTGTAAAAAACGGAAAAGGATGTTAATTTATGCGAGACTAGTATAACATAAGTATAGAATAAGATGGGTCAATGTGGTCGCCAACATCTCTAGAAGATAGGCAGATTTAGAAGAAGTATAACATAGATAATGAAAAAATCATGAAATCAGCTAATACAGAAAGGAGATCCATTGGACCTTAAATGCCAATAAAAATGAAGATAATTATAGAATAATAATAAGATAAGTAGAAATTGTGAAGAGGTTTAAATACGTGAGTTCCTGTTTGAAATCGTACTTATATCCTGATTAAGATGTAAGATCACTAATAGAGCAAGCAAGATCAGCATTTAACAAAATTAGAAATCTATCAGGTAACCATTCACTCAACATTAACTTACGTTTGTTTCGTTCATTGCAATGTTCATTCCATTCTCTTATATGACCGTGAAACGTGAACATTTAAATTAAATACTTTAAAATGCTTAGAAGCCTTTGAAATATGAATTTACAGAAGACTCTTGAAAATACACTGGACGGATCATGTTCGCAATGAAGAGATTCTTCAAAGACTTGGCTACGTCATAAGAAACAGTATAGCAAAGCTTTTGGCTACAGGTAACTGGGCAGACTTGAACATTCCTGGTTGAAACATATAAGAGATCGAACTTATTTGGCCTTACTTCACTGTTTCGAGCTGCACAAGACAGATATTACTTCGTTGTGATTGTTGCCAACCTTCAATAGAATATGGTACCGTAAGAAGAAGTAGCAATAACGACTATCAAATAAACAGGGACGCTAAAATCAACAAATTATAAAAGAATTTTTGGATTTCGTCAAATTAAGGAAGAACATATGTAATTTGACGCCACTATAAAAGGAAGGATATATAAAAACGAACAAATTATTTTATCTTATATTTTATTGTTTTCTATTATAATATCTTATATCCTTCATCTTCTAGTCAAAATTATTGACTTTGTTTATTTTTATTTGTATATTGCATATATTTCCTATTTTCAGATGCTTATAGGTCTTTCTGGATATTTGACAGGATACGATGGAAAATTTGCTTTCGATAAACCTGGTGATAAATATGAAAATACGTCATATCTGGGAATGAGGATGGTAAGTAACCCCTTTTTTAAAAAAATTAAGTGATTTAAAACCTATTCGAATTTGGGATTACTGAACACTATTCGCTTTAATAATTTTATTCAAAAGCTTTGTGGGACGACTAGGGGATACTCAACTACACAGTACTAGTACATGATAACCGGATCATTAAGATGCATCCCACTCCAATGGCTTTTCATCCTATAAGGAATAACTCCACCTGATATCCGCAAAAAGAGTGTGCTAATAAGAGAACATACAAAGATTAATAATAGCCATGTATTCTTCTTCTTTAAGTTCTATCTTCCATCGAAGGTTTGAAATCATTATGACTATGCCGCTCCTGTTGACTGCCGCTCTAAATAGTTCTGCCCTACTGCATTCAAACCATTCCCTTAAGTTCTTAAGCCACGATATTCTTCGTCTTCCATCATTTTTTTCCTAGAATTTTGCCTTGCATATCAAGATTCAATAACGAGTATCTTTGCTCTCTCATAGCATGGCCTAAGTACTCAAGTTTTCTTCTTTTAATAGTCAATTTTATTTCAGCTTCATTTCCTATTTTTCTAGTAACTTCTGCGTTTGACATTCTTTAGGTCCCTGATATTCGTAGTATTCTTTTGTGACAACAAAATTCAAAAGCGGCCAACTTATTTAGATTCACTTATTTTAATGCCCATGCTTCTAAGCCATAAAGAAGAGTAGTGAATACGTAACACCGAAGCATTCTTAGGCGTAATCCTAACCTTATATCCGGACAACAAAGAAACTTTTTAAGTTTAATGAATGATGCACGTTCTATTTCAATACGTGTCTTAATTTCTTTGGTTTGGTCTTATCTTATTTGATGTTATCCATGTTCCTAAGTATTTGTAGGTATCCACACTCTTAATTACAGTATCCTCAACAATCAATTGGATGTTTGCATCTGCTGATTTACTCATTATCATGCATTTAGTTTTTTTCAAATTCATCCTTAGTCCGTATTCATGACAGCATACATTGAGTCGTTGCATTACGTTATATTACATATTCACAAAGAGATTCCCGACTTAAATAGGAAAAAATAGGAAAATATATAGGAAACAATTTTTCAATGATACTTACAGTATTGTGCAAATTAATGGAATCATAGGCTCTTTTAATGAAAAAACAGTTTATTTAGTAAAAAATTATATTTTGACAAAACTCTAAAGGTAAACTTATATCATTCAGTAGGAAATATGTCCCCCTTTGGCAGTAATTACTGCTTTTACCCGTTTTGGCATAGATTCTATGAGTATCTGGCAGTTGTCAGATATCCTTTCATCTCGTTACCAAACCTGAATGGCCGCTTCTATCATTTTTGTTTTAGTGGTACAGTCGATTTTTCGCAGTCTAGCTTTGCAAATGGCCCATAAATTTTCAATGGGGTTGAGGTCGGGCGAATTACCGGGCCAATCTAAAACATTAATCTTCTTATTTTTGAAAAATGCCATCATTTCCTTTGATTTGTGACAGGGAGCAGAGTCCTGTTAAAGAATCGCTCCTCCTTGGGGTTGACATTTTTGGAGTTGTTTGTCCAAATACTTTTCCAATATGGATTTGTATTTTTGGCTGTTCATCATGCCTTCAATTGGCACCAAAGATCCAACCCCCATGTATGAAAAACATCCCCAAAACATTTTCTTGACTGGATGTTTTACGGTTTGATCAATATGAGATAGTGTAAGCTTTTCATTGTCAGACTTCCTGACGAATTTCGACCGCTGTCCCTGAACTATAAAGTGGGTTTCATCTGTAAATAGGACTTGTTTCCAGTCGCCTACAGTCCAATTAGAGTATTTTTTGGCCCACAGTAGCCTTTGTTTCTTCATTCGTTCAGTTAGAAGCTGTTTTTTCTGTGGACGAATTGCCCTTCTACCATTCTCCAAAAGTCTTCTACGAACAGTTGAGTCATGAATCACTATAGCTAATGCTGCTAGATCTTGTTGTAGGTCTTGGCTTGATTTTTTTGGGTCCAATTTGCTCTTTCGAAGTAAAAATCTATCATCTGCTGGTGTTGTTTTTCTCTTTCTTCCACATTTCCTCACCTTTTCACATCCACTGATCCCGTTTCTCGTTTACGCTTCAAAATTTTGCTTACTACCCCCTGACTCACTCCACACGTTCTAGCAATCTCTCTTTGTGACATACTAGTGTGTTCACAACGTGACAATCTTTTCACGGTTCCTAGAATAATTCACGTAATATCCATGTTGGAATAAAACCAAAAACAACACAAAATAGTACAAAAACCCCCAAAACAACACAAGCTTGGTAAGAAATGACCTAAAACACACTCAAACACACCAACACACAGTAAGGTTATGTTTTCAATGCTTGGTCAGCTGTCAACTGTGTAGGTAGTGTTGCCAACTGTGAATATTGAAAAAATGAAAAAAAATTCACAGTGATTCCATTAATTCGCACAATACTGTATGGCTTCTGATGTTACCTTCAAGTAGTTAGACAGGATTGCAGAATATAGTTGTTAATTGCTAGTTCCAGTTGTTGATATTGGTATCAAACTCCAGGGATATGTTGAGTTCCTATAGCAGCGGCCACCTTTTGTAGTATATTACTTCCAATGGTTGACCAATGTGGTCCGGGAAGTCTTTACCCAAAAAGATGGACAAAAATTGGTCTTAGGCCAAAAAACCCGGAGAAATATTTAATACATAAATGAATTTTCAATCAAAGGTCCAGTTTAAATAAGTAAAAGACATGGAAAAAATATAATCCACCTCTACAGAATTAAAGTGGCATGACAGAGTAGAGTTGCCAATTGATAGATATAATTTTTCGACTGAAGTGTGGTATATAAATTTATATAATATGTTCTATCTCATAGAACACAATGGGGTCTGAATTCAGCAATTAGAATATTATGTGAAAAATTGGAAATTAGATGACAGAATATTTAGTAAATAGAAAGTTGATCGAATATATTATATTTGTTATATTTTCTCAGATTTCTCACCCCTTGATGGGTGAGGTATCACCCCGAAAACCCAACGTTTAGGTAGGATTTTTTCCGCTCAGAAGTTTCGTAAATGCTAACATTTGTGCTTGACTTCTGGGTGACACTTTCCCTCTGTAGACGTGGGCAATAATTTCAGTGATTTTTTAGATAGGCTTGTCTGTATTTTCAATAAGGCATTTCCTTTAATTACAATTAAGTCAAAACATCACAAACCCTGGACTACCAAAGGTATTCGCATATCAGCCAAGAATATGCGTTCACTACTGTACATCAAGAAATTTACTACCACCGTCTTTGTCACTGAATATGTCTCCAAGTACAGAGGAACATATCTAAAACTTATTAAAACAGCTTAAAAATGCACTATTAGAATCGTCTGGAAGGCTCTAAAAATGTTGCAAGACAAACGTGATCCATAATAAACGATCTTCGAAATAAAACAAACACAGCTCAAACATTTTATCTTCCAAACCCTAAAAATCTAAATGAATACTTCGTTGTAAATGATACTTCCTCTAGTCACAAAAGCATTGTATGTGGAATACCACAAGGTTCAGTACTGGGTCTTCTACTTTTCCTTATCTTTATAAATGATATCACTAACTTAAAAATCGATGTAAGATTTTTTCTTTTTGCTGATGATACCAGTATTATCTGTAGGAACTCTAATATTGCAACTCTTTATGCAATTATAACTTCTGATCTACTTAAAATAAAAACCTGGCCAGACTCTAATTTACTCTCTTTTAACGTGGATAAGACAGTAGCATTGTCCTATAAAGGAGCTCTTCAACCCTTGCTTCTTAATAACAGCCAGATCAGTATCGTTGATTCTGTAAAATTTCTTGGTATTTTTTATAGATAGCAACCTTAAATGGTCCCTTCATATCGATTTGTTGAGTAAGAAACTAGCCTCAGCCTCCTTTGCAATAAGATCTGTTTCAAAGGAAAAGCATCTTCCAAAATAAAATATTTTTCTTTGTTCGAGTCTCATCTTCGATATGGCCTTCCTTTTTGGGGTTCTAGTACAACTGCCCAATCTGATATTATTTTTAAATTACAAAAAAGAGGAGTACGGTATCTTTTTGGCCTCAGTAGAATAACACATTGCAGAAGCTGCTTCAAAAACCACGGGATTTTAACTATAGGTACCCTCTTTATATATTCTAGAAACTGTTTGTTTAATTCGTGAGCACCTAAATGTTTTTCCAGCAAGACATAATCATGACTACTCCACCAGAAATTCAACCTTTGATGTATATTTACCGATCCCGTACACTGAGTTAGTAAAGAAATTTATATTCGGCAAAAAATGATACAACCATCTCCCTTTGCAACTTATATGTACAACTTCTTCCCCTAAGTTCCGTAAAGTGACAAAAACCTATCTATCTGAAAGACCATATTATTCAGAGGAAGAGTTTCTTAACGCATTAACTAAGAAATTACAGTACATTTAGGTACGAGCAACTAAAGTATTTTTATATATATTTGGGTATCACATGCAGCAACTTAAACTTATTCGTAAACTAGTTCGTAAGGTTTTATAATGCAATTTGCAGATTAGTTAAATTTTGCAATGGATTTTATATTTTATTATCTTTTATATTATGATACTGACGACTTATGTAATTTTAGTAAATTTTAATTGTTATTGTTATCTTTTTGACTTTTTGTAAGCTTTGTCCATAAAATTGTACAATTTTCAGTGACAATAAAGTATACATTTCTATGGCAAAAGGTATAGAGTCGGCAAACTTTCTAAGTAAATGTTATTGTCTAATTGCAATATAATATTTTTATTGATTGAATTCTTTCTGTAGTTTTGCAGTGCTCTTGGATCAACCATTGTACCAATGGCTTTCATAGCAGTAGATGAAATGACTGATAACATATCTGCAGCATTGTTTTCATCGTTATTAATTTTGTTTGGTGAGTGGGCAAAAGATACAAGCTTTAAACTTCTATATATAAAAAATATCTATAGCTATAGAAAAATAAATGATAAAAACATTTTTTAGATGTTGGACTTATTACTCTTTCTCAGTATATCCTTTTGGATCCACTCCTTTTATGTTTTATGATGGGCAGCTTTATGGGTGCTGTTAAAGTATCATCACAAAAAACTAAAGAATTTTCTATAAAATGGTGGTTTTGGTTAACTTTTACTGGAATTATGTTAGCCTGTTGTATAGCTGTGAAATTTGTAGGGTTATTTGTAGTGTTACTAGTGGGATTAATGACAGTATCAGACCTCTGGAGAATATTGGGAGATATGGCTAAACCCGTGGTAAGTACAGTTTATCTGTAATTATATACAGTCAGAAAAATGAAATATTACCCATGAACGATCACATCAATCACTTATTTTGTATTTGCTGTCTTTTTCTATAACAAATGTTTTGCAATTGCCAATAATGAAGAGACATCATTTAAACTGCGAAATGCAGTGGCATGCTATTGGGATGCTTTAAGCTGGCAGAATGTTACCAATTAATAAGAAGAATCCAAATAAAAAAAAATTTATTTCAAATCCTTTATAAAAGGTATATAATAAAATGCCCAAACGGGCTATCACAATTACATTACAGAACGTTTTCGGATTGTTAAATCCATCATCAGTGTAAAAGGGGTATACATGCTATGAGCCACCAAAATATATGGGTCAAAACCCTTTAAATGTTATAAATTTACAGTTGTTTTACATTATATATAGTTACAAATTACTGTTGTCTCAGGACCATTTTACCTATGTAGGGTCATACGTCGCCATGTTACCAATTCCAACGGTAACTTAAACATCCTAATTTGTAACTATATATAATGTAAAACAACTGTAAATTTATAACATTTAAAGGGTTTTGACCCATATATTTTGGTGGCTCATAGCATGTATACCACGTTTACACTGATGATGAATTTAACAATCTGAAAATGTTTTGTAATGTAATTGTGATAGCCTGTTTGGGCATTTTATTATATACCTTTTATAAAGGATTTGAAATAAATTTTTTGTGATATATGGTATACAGCCATATACAGGAACTTAGTTTCCTAGTGGATTTTTAAGAATCCAAATGTATCATTCAAAAATACCAAATGTTATGGAGACTAACAGTAATGATAATGGAACACTTTGTATGAGAGATAATAAAACCCTTGTTGAGTTAATTTTAATTTTCTTTCTTTTGAATTTTTGTCATAATAAAATTTGTTTCTTTCATTTTTTTTCCTTTTGAACTTGCCTAAAATCTTTTACAATTTTTGGTTTTAACTTATTACTATGAATTTGTAGAGTTGTTCTAGTTTGTCTGCTCAAAATAAGTTGGGATGGACTATACAATGAGTTTAATACTGGAGTGTTTCTGTTCTAATAATAATTTTATATCAAAATATTCCTCTTTACTCCTTTTAAGCAAATTTTTTGCTATATTAACTGCTTTTTCAGCCATTGCATTTCCTCTAGCATAATATGGACTTGATGTCACAAGCTTTTGCAAAATTGTTAAATTCAAAAGATGCAAATGGCATATTGTCTGCATGTACCACCTCAGGAATACCATGAGTTGAGAATATTTGTTTCAAAATTAAAATTAGAGTTTTAGAATCTTTATGTTTTGTTTTAATTATTTCTAACCACTTTGAGTAATAGTCAACAACTACTAAATAAGATTCACCTGCAAATTCTAAAAAATCTGTGCCAACCTTTTGCTCCTAATCCTAACAAAAAGTTAAGTTTTGCCTACATATGGAGCAACTTAACGATATAAACTAAATTACTGTAACTTTTATGACAGCTTTTATTTAATTTTTGACGCCATGTCAAACTGAACTGGATGTTAACTGAAACGTTTTTGTTATTAAGAACATATTTACATAATTTTATAAATATATTTTAATGATCCAATTACCCCGAATGGGCAAATAATTAAACAAAAATAGTTGGTGTTTTGAATAAATCTTTGTGCAGTTTGATTACCTCGTAATTTAACAGCACCCTTACTCATCTAAAAATATTAACTTTTAAAGAACATTTATCATATTTATATTTATTCAAGAAAAACTTACCAACGCATTATCTGATAGAACAAATGGAAAACTTTGACTATCTCTAATAATAAAATTCAAAATAGAACTAACTAATTAACTAAATATAACTAACAAAGAATTAAACAAAAATAATGGAACAATAAAACTATATTAGCTAAAATAAACAACGCGAATAATACAAATATTTACTACAATATGTTCAATTGTAACAACGCAAATATTATATTTTAAATATACAGGGAAAATGTTGTGGGTTTAGTATACACTTCCACTATTTGGAATAATTCTTCTTTTTTTAAAGGAAGAAGTCTGCAATAGTAGTATATTTGAGCTATTAATACTGAGAAGTAGGAATTTTTGTGTTGTAGGTTTCCGACAATGAATCTGTCAAAATATGCCTGAGCTAAGCGAATGGAGAATATCAGTTTGAACAATTATGTCAGAATCAGGATACTGATTACTACATAGTAACAATTTCAGTTCATCAAAAACCTTACTATGTACTGATTTTTCCCATCTGAATTCAGTGTCCTTTTTTAACAATAACCTTATTGGATAGGTTTTTTCAGCTAAATTCGGTATAAAATTTCTTAAATAATTAATTACGCCTAAAAATCTCTGTAGGGCTTTTTTATCAGTTGGTGTATCATATTAACTAATAGCCCTAATTTTTTTACTGTCTGGTTTTACTTCACCATTACTAAAAGTATGACTCAAATACTTAACCTCAGTTAACAAAAATTGAAATTTTTCTTTGTTAAATTTAATGTTTATTTGCCTAGCCCTGCCTAAAACATTTTTTAAAATTACATTATGAGCCTCAACTGAATCTGCAAATATTAACAAATCATCTATTTATATATTAACACTGTTAATATCCTGAAAGTTCTCAGACAAATATTTTTGGAAAACCTCTGCCGAAATATTAAGACCAAATGGTAAACGTTTGAAAGAATAACATAATTCATTTGTGTGTGGGTGAAACCTTATTTTTCTAATAATAATAGGTTCTTGTAAAGGCTTATCTTTGATTATTTGAGAAGTTAAATGTTATACATAAAGATATAAAAGATATCTTTGCTTACTTGGTCCACTAGTAATAAAGTTATCAAAATTAAATTGCAAAGTGGTCTTCGTATATGGTTTTGACTTTGGTTGAAGTTTTTTGCATACAAATGTTATTATTGTTTGTTCTAACAATATAAAATTACAGGATATTTAATCCTGTGGTACATAAATCAGTTTTCTTGTGTAAAATTTCAATTTTTATACATTTGTGGAATTAAAATGAAAGATATAATTATATCATATAGATATAATACAGATTGTAAAAATAATTTAATAAAAGTTATTTGAATGTATTTATTTATGAGAAATTAAATACAGCAAATAATAAATAAAAAAAAATACTTTACAATCACATTGGTGCTATATTAGCAATTTTTAAGGCATCTGATCTTTTCTTTGTTTCACTTTTATTTTTCTTCAATAGCATTCCCATTGTAATACCACCAAACAAAATCAAGCCAACTGTAGAATTTGAAATAAATTTTTTGGAACAATCACTAGCATCATTTATTTTTAAGGTAATAATCTGATTTGCAATGTGTGTTGCTACTAAACCAACAGCAGTATAATATGGCCAGGTTTGTGAGTTCATTACTCCTGATATCACAAGGCTTCCTATCATTGTTGATGCAAAGCCACTCAACCATAATTTGGTATCTTCATCAAATTTAAGAGCAGTTGACTTAATACCTAATCTTAAATCATCTGTTTTATCCTGATGTGCATATATGGTGTCATAAATAATAGTCCAACAAACACCAGCCATATATAACGGCAAACAAACTGGCAAATCAACATATCCATGAATGGCACTGTATCCTAAAAGAGCACCCCAGTTAAAAGTAAATCCTAAAACTAGTTGTGGCCAATACGTAATTCTTTTCATAAGTGGATAACTGATCACTAATGCCAAGGAGCTTGCCCCAAGGAATACACTTGGCCAATTAAGCTGTAATAAAATCGCCAAGCCAACACTTAATTGTCCACTAAGAAACACTAGGGCTTGTTTCATAGATATATCACCATTCACTAGGGGTCTCTCTTTAGTTCTTTCAACTTTTCCATCAATGTCCTTATCCCACATATCATTAATGGTACAACCAGCTCCTCGCATAACTAATGCACCTGTTGCAAACAATGCCATCATGTAGGCATCGGGCAGAGCTCCAGGAGCTGCAGCTGAGGCAATACTCCAACTGCATGGCCAAAATAATAAAAAGGTTCCTATAGGTCGATCAAATCTTACCAATTTTAAATAGGGCTGTATCGATTTTGGAGAATTCGATACTAATTTTGCAGCTAAAGTAGGTTTTGGTGGTGCTTCATGTTCTATGGGATTAGAAAAACTAGAATTAAATATTGTTACACTAAACAATTCTTTCCTCCTGAGAAAATGCGATTTGTAAACATTTCTTATAACTATTCTTGATAACATTTTTTGGTATATTAAATTTTCTATATTAATTATATTCTCTATCTTTTAGGATACATGTTTTATTATTAACGGATAAAATTAAAATACATAATCATGTGTAATTATTTAAAGGTTATGTTATATTATGAATAAAATTATGTCATCGAATCGAGAATGTGTCACGCAGTTGACATTGATTTTTCTTTTCTATTGGCCTTTTACAGTTCAGCTTAATAATTCTAGTAAAGATCAAGGTCAATGAATAATTTATTATTATTTCCTGTTTAATGAATTTTAATAAAAACTATGTACTTCAATAGATTCGGTAAATATTTATTTTAAGATGTATTCATAAAAAATTCAATTTTTATAAATTTACTGAGAAATATTTTCATGGAAACTATGAGTCTATTTTTTAACCAGGAGGAGTAATTCAAATTTTCCGCGCCGTAATTCTTGTTTGTAATTGGTCCAACCACAGGCAAGTTTACTCCAATAAATTATGACATATTGACACTAATGACATTTGTGAAATTTTAAAATTCAAAATTTATATCGACGATTTTTTTGTATTTTCTGCGTTATTCCTTACATTCATAGATTTTTCGTTTGCATTTATTATAAAGAACAGTTCTTTTCAGAACTATTTAGTGTTATTAAGATAACAATATGGATTCAATGCCAAGTACTAGTGGTAATTATTCTTCTCCACCTTAAAAACGCCGAGTAGATTTGGGTCATTTATCAACAAATAAGAAACAATGTGTTATAAACATATATAAAAAATGAAAATTGATAATTATGGATTGAAATAACAGCCACAGTAGCAAAAGTAAAACAGGCAGCAGGTTAGTTTTACAGAATAGTTATTGGTAAAATCAAAACTTACTAAAGTAATGTGCTAATTTTAGGTGTTGCGAATTCAACTATTAACCAAACAATTATAGAATATAAGCAGACTGGTGATATGCGAATATTATTTAATGTGACATTTTTCTAGATGATATTTATACTAAATATATTGTTTAAAGTATTGTTAAGAAGCATTTTCATTTGTTTTCATCACAATAAAAGAACATTTTTAGTAAAGTAATATTGTGTTTTAGTTTGATTGCATTGATGCAGTTAGTTTTGTTCTTCCTGGTTGTAGATAATCACAAGAAAACTGGACAGTTATGCTTGAATGTAACATAATAGATTGAATTTGTTAATTTTAGTCAATTTTATTTATTAATAACAAATGTTACAAACTCAAGAATCCAGCATTAAAAAAATTGGAAGTACACACTTATTTATACAAAGTATCTTTTTGCATTATAGTGCTTCAAATAGAACCTAAAGATATTGATACATAAGTTAAACAAATCTATCTAATGAGGTAACTGATTACCAAAATACCACACCTATATTTGAACCATAATTTATTCTGTGATAGGAAATATGAATTTTAAAGCAGTGAACGGGAAGGAGTATGTAAAACAAATTGCCTGAAACAATTCAGGAGATTGGATTATTAAGCTTAAAAATAATGATCAAAGTCAAAGTTAACTCTTCTGGTAAGAAAAAAAACCTATATTCAAGAAATTAATCACATCAGAATAAAAATATGGTCTACGCAGTTTAAAAGAACTATTTCAGAAATCTTTGAACTGTCTCTAACTTTTTGATACATGCATTTGCATAGCTTTGTTGCATACTTATTAGATCTATTTGCAAATTAAAAGACAAATTTATGTGAAAAACCAAACTTAGATGAATGTGAAAAAGTCCTTTTTTTATTGTAATAATTGTAATATTTATTGGAAGTGAATTAAAAAAAATTATAATTCTTCTTCTTCTTGGTCTTTTTTTGGGCTATGTCCTAGACAATTTACCCAGTTTACTTGGGGGTAGACACTTTTTGTCTTGTTTCAGCAATCAGTGTCCACCTACACTTATATTCTTCCTTTGTTTGTTTTGGATTATTCTACATGTATATCTGTGTTGGTATTTTTCTTCTTTATATTCTTCACAGGCTAAAATTTTACTAAGAACACAACAAAGGTATAAACTTTTCTCGCTCGGGGGTAGCCTCCAAGCTTTGCACACACCAGAAATGCTACCGACGGATCAAACATAAATTTACAAAGTTAGATTAGAATAATTGACGTGGAAGGTTGTCCCATATTGATTACTCGATTACCGCAAGGCCGAGATAATCAACAAAAAAGAAGATGTATTTGGTGACTTTTCTAGTAACTTTCTTGGGTGTGAATCTGTCTTTTTGGTTTACTCCTCCTGGTTAAAAAACAGAGTAGAGAATAAATATCGGATATCTACTATACTTCATCTAATTTACTTACCTTCAAAGACCATTTACACCAAGTGGAGTAGATGGTCTTTGCTTACCTTTGCACGTCATTATTATTGACAGAGATCGAAGTTGACATAGTTGTCAAAGTTTAAAAAATCCTGACTCCATTTTAACTCAAATAGGTCACATAATTATTGCAAAATTATTACCATCTCTTTACAACGACTATTTAAATTCTTACGTGGCATTTTTGAAATAAAACACACTAATTTTGTTCTAAAAAGAGCAGATTTTAAGAAATAGGTAAAAATATAAACCAAGAGGTATTCACTTTAAAATTCAAAATAATAAAGTACAAAAAGTGTCAACATCGCAACGCTCAAATAAGTGTTACCAATTTATGGCAAAATATCACCTTCATTCGATTACAGTTACAGTGTGTTTCGAACAAATGTTCTTAATAAAAACGCTTTATAATGCATTTATACAAATTAAATTAAACATATTCTTGTGTATTTCTTTAAGTTAACATGAATACACTACTGCCCAAAATTACCGCACCACCTTAAAGGTACCATAAGTTTGAATCTATTTTTCTTCTGCACGAATGATTGATTTTTTTCTTATGTGATAGGTTTATTTCTAGTAAATCACTGTATTAATGCTTTCTAAAAAATATCATCGTTTTACCCGTATAGGGGGTGTAACAATAAAGTTATGTTTTTTCGTCGTAATTTGCAACACCCTGTGGAATTTATTAAAAAGAAACGCTACATCGTATTAATATTTTAAGACAGACTCATCCGTTCTTAATATTTTCGTAAAAAAAAATATCATGATATCCCTATTATTAAAAATTGTACAAAATTTTAAATGTAATAAGTTTTTATTAACATTTAAAGCAAAGAAAACATTACTTACATACACTTTATTGACATATAAAACAAATAAACCTAAGAAAACATATCCTAACAACAATTCCCTCTCCCAAAACAGTTAATAACGAGCATTTCCACCTCTACATCTAATTACTTCTTCACAACGATGGGGATACTTAAAATCAAGCGGCGTATTTGGTCTTGATCAATTGCATTCCAAACTTCTCTTACCATAACTTCTATGTCGTCAAGAGAGACAGGTAGTGGTTGTCGACTCCTGAGATGACGATCAATAATATCTCACAAATTCTCTATGGGATTGAGATCGAAAGAGATTGAAAATGTGAAGAAAGAATGAGGCAATCATTGCCCTAATTATTTGGCACGGCCCACATACTGATTTCATATTGGCGATTTATCTTAAACGATTCTCTCCACTTATCCGTCATCCATTCTGTTATTATTATTATTATGTGCACATTCCACATTTTTTCGAATGGTTTAACAATATTTTATGTAAAAGGATTGATTAAATAGATAATTTTAACGAAAGGCATGCTCTGGGTATATTTTAGAATATAAAAGAATGAGACAGAATATTTTTATAGATATTGACGTATGATTTTATATTATTACTAATTCAAATCTAGAATATTTCTTAATGAAATGAGGTGAACAATGACAGATACATATATCAATTATTATATCCACTTACCGGCTCAGAGTGGCTATAAATCAAACGGTACACAAAACAAAACAAACTAATACTTGTCTTCAACTTCCCCTTCTTCCTAAAAAAAAAAAAAATTAATATTCTTAAAATAAATTTAGCACTTCTCTAGGATGCCTACTTTTTTATTAACCCAACTTCTGTTCCCCGAACTCAAAGAGTGATTTATGCTACGTGAAACGTTAATTGCTAGTCGGATAAGCATGTCTGCCAAAACTGCCGCTTGGAGTCGTTGCTTAATACCAACTTAGAAATTACTAAGAGACATCGACTGAATATTGATTTATAGATTTTATTTAAAGTGATGCAAGGATTATTGAAGTGACGGACTTGTTACAAAAGGTTTTACAGTTAATAGTTGGTTTCATATTTCCATCTTTAAAAAAGATTTTTCCTGAATTTTGAAGCGAAACTTTCTATTCATAAAGATACAGTTAATTCTACCTAATATTTTAAATTTCACAATTCACCATACGTAGAAAAATAGTCCATTTTACATCCATAACAAATAAAACATTCCATCATCCAGCTTCAAGAGTCCACTGCTGAACATAGGACTCTTCCTCATGTTTCCAACCCCGTCTATCTTGCGCCGCTCTTATCCAGTTTTTATTGAGTCTTCTTAAATCGTCAGTCTATCTTGTAGGTGGTCGACCGACGCTTCTCTTGTCTTCCCTTGGCCTCCATTCCAATAACCTCTTTGTCCATCGCCCATCTGTCATTCTGGCTATGTGTCCTGCAAATCTCCATTTTAGTCTGGCTATCTTCTCGATGATGTCAGTCACTCCGGTTCTTCTCCTGATGTCTTCGTTTGTTATTCTGTCTCGGAGAGTTATTCCTAACATGGACCGCTCCATTCTTCTCTGCGTGACTCTCAGTTTGGTAGCTGCTGCTTTTGTTAAGGTAAGTGTTTCTGCTCCGTACGTCAAGACTGGGAGGACGCACTGATCAAATACCTTTATCTTTAGGCATGTGGGCAGCTCACTTTTAAAAGTTTCTCTCAGTTTTCCAAATGCTGCCCACCCAAGGCCGATTCTTCTCTTCAGCTCATGAGTCTGGTTATCTCTGCCAATCATAATTTCATGTCCCAGGTATTTATATCTATCTACGAGTTCTATTTCTTTCCCATCAATACTGATGTTCTGGTTGGGCACCAAATTGGTCATGATTTTTGTTTTCGCGATATTTATATTTAAACTTACATTTTCTGTAGCCACAACGATTTCCTGTACCATCTCTCTTGCCATACCTAGATCTTCAGCTATTATAAGTATATCATCGGCGAAACGTAAGTTGTTTAGATATTCTCCATCTATGTTTATTCCCTTTGTCATCCAATCCAACTTCTTAAAAGCATGTTCTAGCACCGTATTAAAAAGTTTAGGTGACATTGGGTCTCCTTGTCTAACCCCCCGTTCTATTTTTATGCGATTATTGTTAGTATGTAATCTGACAGTGGTTGTTGCCTGCAGGTATATTTAAAATAAAACATTATATGAATATAATTCCATTCTTTCATTTTTTTAACATGTAGAAATAACAATTCTTGTCATTTGTCCTTTTTTCTGTCATTCAAACTTAGTGCATATTTGTGAATCATAACAATATATATAGTACATGTAAAGTTATTAATATTTGATATTGTTTTGTTGTTTTAGAGCCATACTTTAAAAAACCTACTTGCGAGAGCCCTATGTTTGATTGTACTTCCGATTATCCTCTACATCACATTTTTCTACATTCACTTACGAGTTTTGAATAGAAGGTTTGTATAATTGTATTACATTTTTTCTAGTTTATGTTGAAATAGAATTTTAATAAAATTTTAATAAAAATAAAGAAAGTTGCTTGAGATGACAATAAAATCTGACCAATGTCTAAATAAATAAATTATTTTGACTTTATTTTCTTTTAGTATACTTTTGTTGTTAATATGCATTGATATACTTTAACTAAAATAAATACAAGATCATTGAACTTGAAAAGTGACACCGACGAAAGAAGTCAAATACTAAATATTATAAAGCTATATAAAAATAAAAATAAAAACGTATATTGCCCTAAGAATATGTAATATTTAAAAAATATGTTTAAGTCTTCTTTCTTTTTGCATTTGCACCGGTTTTTTGTGGGACCGTATCCTCTTCCGGTTCTAGATTTTCTACGCTGCTGAGATCCTGGACGGCTGTTTCTGTACTTCCGTAATTTTTCGTATCGTACCTACCTTTGCAATCACCTGGCTGGTCTCTGATTAAATTGTTAATCAGTTTGCTGGTTTCTCGATATATACTTTGAAACCTGTTTTTGGTGAAGATATCCCTGGTCTTAGGGAGGCGTAGAATTCATGGCTGCGCAACCTGAGAGATTGGTACGGATGTACATCAAATGAACTTTTTAGAGCAGCCGTCTCAAAAGTCCGGATAGCTATGATGATTGCCGACCTCCGCCGCGGAGATGGCACTTGAAAAAGAAGATCCCTGGTCTTAAGAAGTCTTTTTGTGGCCTGATAGAAGAATTTTCTGGTCCTATTATTGGTCACCTCCCTCACTGATATATACTGGAGCCTTTCTTGGATGCTTGCATTGGATATTCTGTCTTACCATGCTGATCCATCTATTAATCTGTAGCATGCCGTTTCTGTTCTTACAAGTTTCTTCCAGTTGGTCTCCGCTTTTGAACTCCATAATGGTACTGCCTATAACATCACGGTTTTAACGTAGGTCTGGTATAATTAAATCGTCTTGACTTGATATAGAGGGCTGTTCCTGAATGGCTCTTCTCCACAGTTACAGCGCTTAACTTTGTTCACCTGTCCTTTGGATAGAGGATAGTTCCTTGTAGTGTATTACGGGTCATATTTCGTGCACCTCGTGATCCTGTTGCAATTTCTAGCGCTGTGCCCGAAGGCTTGGCAGTTGTAACACTGCATTGCTCTCTGAAGCTTGCTGTACGAGTCCCATTTGATACTAGTGTTTGAAGTCCATTTATTTTCTCGATTTACATTTCAATCTTGTGTCTGGATTAAGTAAGAATGTAAGAATGACCCATCTTATCCTGTTCTCTAGGTTTTATTTCAGAGGCGTTGATTCCCTGCTCCTTCAGTTCGTTTTGACGTTCTTCAATATCCATTCCTGGAGTGGCTCTCATGATTGCTTTTTTCACAATTTATTCCTTCCTTGTGTAAGTATGGAAGTTCGCCTTTTCTTTGATTATTTTTTTAAAATTATTATAGTGCCGGAAAGTCCTGGTGAATAACCTAATACCTGCCCTTCCTGCAGACAGTATTTGGGAAGATAAGGACATAATCTGATATCCTTAACAAGCGCAGAATACTGTCCAAAATGTCCTGAAAGGACAATTGGAGGAATCGTCTCCCTTCTTCATTCGTTTCTACGGTTGTCTTCCGTGGGAATGTTGGATAATGCTTTAAAAATGTTTTTCCTTGAGACTTGGTTTAGGTTCCGCCCTCTCTCTGGTATCGTCTAAGTTTTCCTTGGAATTTCTGCGGCCGTATTTAACCATATTGAATAGTTCTTCTTCCATGATTTTCGTCTTTCTAAATGACATCGTTGTTTCTTCTTGTTTTCCTGAAAGAAGACGTTTAATTGTCGCTTGTATTTCTTTCTGTAGTATTATTATAAAATTTTATATTGGATTATTGCTATTTTAGCAAAATGTTCACTGAACAATGAGCGATATACGTTTTAGATTACGAACATTTTACCAAATAATAGCACTAGTAGAATAATTCTTATTAGCTTTGTTATTTTAATTCTTACTAGAAAAAGTATAACTAAATATTCACTGCCGAGAATAAAATTAGGGCCACCCAGTAATTTGAATTTATTTTAGAAATTCTTATTCTTTTTTATCTATTTGCGGTTGTCACATAGTTTACTAACGGATTACTGAAAGAAAACAATGTTTTTGTCTGCCAAAGTTTATTAAAAGTAATGAAAATAAACAATTTTCTTTTGATATTCTAAATATTGAAAAGGGACAATTTTAATTTGATGTGCTGTTTGTTGAAACAAAAGAAATTTTAAGAATTAGTAACGAGTATTCCCTTCTCTGGCAATGATAACAGCTTGCAAAAGACGAGGCACGCTTTAAATCAGATTTTGGATCACATTCTGCGGAAGATTGTTCCATTCCAGCACCAATGTATCGCGAAGCTCTCTTGAATTTCTGGGGACCATTACATGACTCCGTAAACGTCTCGTCATCTCATCCTAAACATATTCTATGGGATTGATATCTAGAATGCGAGTAGGACATACAGCCATGTGGTTTGAACTTCGTCAAGATCCTCAGTAATTATCCGAACATTGTGGGGCCTTGTATTATCATGAATAAATGTTGCGTCGTCTAGAAGAATAACCATAAATAGTAAAATATGATCATCTAGAACCTGTGTCAGGTACCTATGCACAGTCATTGTCCCATTTCCGATAAAGACTAACTCGATGCGAGAGTTAAAGATATGCCACTCCATATCCTAACTGACTTTCCACCATATGGAAGTCGCTCGACAACACATGCTTGAGCATATCTCTCACCTGGACGTCGCCACACTCTTACACGTTTGTTTGAACCTGTAAGGTGTCTTGATAATATAATCTTGTCTTAATTACTATTAAACTGGGAATAAGCCACAATTAAAGATAAAAATACGTTTATTGACGTTTCAATTTCCACTTCGGAAATCGTTCTCAAAATACAAACAGTAAATTAAACAAATTTTGTTTTTTGTTACATAGTGAAAAATTCTTCTAATAATTTAATTTTATCTGACTCATTTATATTGACAATTCAGACATACATTATGCATTTTAAAGTAGACGACTTTAAAATGATATTGCCAATATTGTTGAGTTGCGCTCCTGGGGCGACTTTACTTATAAGATAGTTCATTCGATTACATGAAATCAACTTTAACTTGAGAATATCCGTCAGAAAAAAATCATAGCATGTAATTCGTCTTTAAAAAGACAAACACATGACATGATGACAGTAAAATTCTCCTGTTAGTGATTCCATAGTAAATTATGAGGGAAAACCAGGAAAAAACCTCATAATACTATCCCGACATTGTAAGTATTTGTTCGGAATTTAGTTTACCTTCAACAAACATCAAAATTCTGATTTTATATGTTACGTTATTTAAAAAACATAAATGATGTATCCTCTATATGTGACTGACTTACTAATACTGGTATTTTCTTATTAATAACTTCCTCTTTCAATATTGGTAACCAGTTCCTACTACATTTTGCCGAGGAATTTGCGACACAATTATTGGCCTCATTTAGCATAATTAGAGCCGTTTCTTTGATTTTTCTTTTTTACCATCCGTTTCTTTTAGGACTACATTTGAATTATTCCATTGAACCCTATGTTCATTATCCCATGCGTGTTTACAGATTTGAGATCTATCAAATTCTTTATTTTTAATAGAAGGTTGATGTTCACTTATTCTAACATTTAATGGCCTTGATGATTCACCTAAATAAAACTGATCGCATTCACAAGGTATCTTATAAATGCAATTCTTTGTCCTTTCTTGTTCATTGTTAGGTTTGGTTTTGGACAAAATAGATCTCAACGTGTTTGTTGTTTTGAATGTTGTTGAAATATTGAATTTATTTCTTATCCTTCTAAGTTTTTCTAATAGTCCTTTTATGTACGGTATTGTTATTTTCCTCATATTATTCCTTGTGTATGCTGTAGGATCTCGTTCTAAGTTGTTTTGTTCTATTCGATCGATTGTTGAACATTCCTTATTTATAAACGATAAAGGATAATCATTTTTTAATAAAATAGATGTTAACAAATGTTTCTCCTCCAAGAACGAATTTTCATTAGAACAAGTAATTTTGGCTCTATCGTATAAGGATTTAATTATTCCCTTTTTTACATTAATATTATGATGTGATTTGAAATTTAAATATCTATTGGTGTGTGTTGGTTTTCTATACACCTGAGTCTCATATCCAGTATCGTTCTTAGAGATTAAAACATCCAGGAAAGGTAGCGTGTTATTATATTCCTTTTCCATGGTAAATTTAATAATTTAATAATAATAGACAATAACATTTGTCTTTTTTTGTTTTTTGAATTTACAGTAATCTTAAAAATTTCTTGAACTGAGCAAACTGAAGTTACTCGGTTAGACCTAACATTTTTTGATTTTAAACAAACTTTTTGAATGTGTACAATTTTTTTACAAAAATTACAAGTTAAATGTTTTTTTGAACTAGAATTTGCAAAATGTGAAGGGTCTTCACATCTATAACATACATTACTATTTTTGTTTGAAGAATTTGCGGCGGAGTTATTCTGAAATTGCATCATATTATTATTTTCACTCCTTGCTTTTGCATTTAATATATTAACACTAGAATTATTATAATTTTGATTATGAAAAAATTGGTTACTGTCCTTTTCTGTTGCCTCCATGCTTGTGGCAATCTCAACGGCTCTATCTAGTTACAGTCAGTCCTTTTGATTCTAGAAGTCTAGCTTGTATTCTTTTCGATCGTAGGCCAAAAACAAATTGGTTTCTTATAGCACTTTTAAGATATGTAGAAAAATTGCAGTTAATTGACAACTTTTGTAGTGAATGAAGGTATTCTTGTATTGTTTCTCCTTCGGCTTGCCTTTTTGATTGTAATCTGAAGATTTCTACAATTTCGAGGGGTGCAAGGTTGTAAAAATTATCCATTAAATTGACAATGTCGTCGTATGACTTGTCTTCAGCTACGTCTGGGGCTAACTTGTCGCATAGAGTGTCGTAGGCCTAAGAACCCATGTAGTGTAGTAGATAAGGTATTTCAATAGACTGGTTGAAAGATTCAACGGAAAATTGAAATGTAGATTCTTGTGTAGACATAATTGGGGCTGTAGTATAATAATAATGTAAATAACTGTGCTTGAAGTTGAAGTAGCAATCGTAGTAGTTGTAATAATCTCTGCAGTAGTTGTTATTACCATCTTATGTATCCCATCCTCGTCGTCAATTGTTGTGTATTTAGTATTTCTTACTTAAATAAGATAATAATTATTAATACAACGTGGTTTTACATCATTAACCTTTATTTCCCATTAACTAACTTCATTCCCTTGTGTCAGTGAGCCTACCTGTGTTGCCAAGTATATAACAAAATTGAAATTACGGGGAGACCCTAATTTTATGCTCGGCAGTGTATAATAAGTTGATTTTTTGTAATCAATTGAACTACATTGTTGGACAAAAGTAGAGCGTAAAGTGGTAAACAAGTTATCCGTTTATTCTTGGTTCAGTTCTGAAACTTTTCTTGTGGCATATTTTTTACTAAATAGTTTACATGGGAGTAAAACACAACGGATTGCAATAAAAATTACATTTTTACGTCTCGATTTCCTATCCAAAAAGTTTTTTCCAAGAAAATTCTTAAATAAAATTGATAACCTCTAAATGTTATTTTCAAATGGCGTTTCGGCGAAAAAAAGATTTCATGAAAGATAAACTTATCGGCTTCGTTATTTGAGGGATCCATGGAGGTATCAGTCATGGTTGCACTTTTAGAGCTAAAGGTATTGTTAGACACTCGGATCCTTTTGTGAATATTTTTGGTTGTGTGATGTGTTATTGTTGATTGTAGATTATGTGTCTCGAACCGGATGTTTACTCATGAGTGTTGTTGTATTCTTACTGCTTACTTCTTCTTTAGTTTATATTACCAGACTAGCTGCATTCTATTGTGAATTTGCTACAGAATTTGCTTTATTTGGAAAGGTGAGGGCGGCTCCTTTATTTTTTCTCATAAATATATATTGTTTCTTACAAAACTATTGATGCATCTTGCCATTGCACTCTATATTTTGTGTGGTTTATTTCCATGTAAAAATTTGTAATAAAAATTATTTATAATTGAAAATAAAACACTCAATACGAAGAATCGCTGACCTATAAGTTTTTGGTAGAAGGTAAAAGAAGAACTGCTGTGGGATGTTTAGGCAAGAGATTTCTGTGAGTTGATTAATCTTATTATAACTCCATAAATTGTGGAAATTTTTTTGCCCATTAAGACACTTTTTTACGTTTTTTTTTTTTACTTTTTTATCTGTATATTTCATTTGTTTTTTCAGATACGCACAGAAAATATAACTAAATTAATAAAACAATAAGTTTATGATTTAAAAATAAAACAATTTTTTTTTTCAGTGGTAATGGAGATGGGTTTTACAGTTCTGCCTTTCAATCACAACTCATTGGTAAGTAATTTAAATAAATTGATTAAACATAATTCGGACGATTCGTTTCATCTATCAAAATTTGCAAGGTTAACATAAACCAAGAAAAGTATTGAAATAAGGTCCCAAGTTTGTCGTCTTTCTCTTATTTTGTCATCTTATTGTTGACAGATATGAAACAACGTGAATTATTCGTTACTAACTTTGTTTCTCTTGATTGTTTCGCTACCCGCGATTTTTCTTTTAGTGATATTTAGATATTAATTTCTATCCTTGTAGCAGTCAAGCTGAGCTTGGCTGCTTTACATCGAACGTCGCGTCTCAGTCTCAGTCCAGCCTCAGTTCACTGAGCAGGTTGTTGCGTCAGTATTTAAATCATAAGAGCTTAATCCTATGGTGTCCTCTTATTTTATCTAACAACTGTGGCCTATAGCTAACACACAACACAGCACTATGCTCTGCCTTTACACTAGTTAACAGTTTATACTAACCCAAAATGGTTTTCTTCGTTTGAGTCTTCTTTCTAATCCAGTATTATCAAGGAACTAGATGGCCTTGTCGTTACATGACTATGAGCCGTTGTTCGTAACTACCTGCCATCTTCCATCTCAAAGTTCTTGTGGTGGTCGACTTTTCTGATATACCAAGGAGCATCTACGATGTTCCTAAATGCTTTATTCTGGAATCTCTGGATGATCTGGAAATCTTGGCACGGCCTCAGAGTTGGCAACCATACGTCCATATTCGTCTCAGTATTTGTTTGTATAGCAATTGTTTGTTATGTAAGGACAATGCTGAGTTTCTTCCAATTAGCCAATACATTTTCTTGTAAGGGATGCCTAGTTCTTCCCTTTTCTTTTTAATATGAACTTTCCACCAAAGTCTTGCATCAAGTGTGATACTTAGGTTCGTTTAGTTTGATTTTCTATTTTATAGTATAATTATGGATTTTATTTATCGACAACTGTAATTTTTCTGCTGCTTCATAGCTGGTATCGCCTACTACTAGGATGGCAGTATTATCAGCAAAGGTGGCTATAGTATTTTTTTAGCTCCGGTAGATCGTATGTGTATAACATGCAGAGGACCGGACCTCGAGGGACTTCTGCTTTGATTTATTTTAGATCTGTGTACACGTCTTCTTGCTTAATTCTGAAATATCTGTCAAATTTTTCTTCTTTCTTTCTTTTTCATAAATTTGGAACATATCTCAATCTAAATTCTGCATTGATTATGTTGGTCAAATTTAATATGCCTTTGCGAGGCAGGTTTTTTAGTAATTTTCCAGTGATTAGATCATATCTCATCAGCTACTTCCTTCGGGATTGTTAATTTGATTCTCTATTTTGTCTGATTAGGCTCTAGCGATTTTTGATGATTAATTTGGTCTTCATGCGGTTTCAATGTATTTTCTAAATATGTGTCAAATATCTCTGCCTTTTGCTTATTTCTTTTAGCCCAGCTACCGTCTTCCAGTTTAATGGATGAAGACTAGTTTGCTGGTCTTTTTAGCCTTTTTGTTGCTTTCCATAGAAAATACTCAGTGCTGCTATCATCCGTCAACTCTCTCAAAAAAAAACTGATTGACTCATTTTTTATGTTTTGGATCTCTCTTTCAAGTTTTCGACTAGCATTCTTCAAATTTGTTTATCTTAAGGAGCTCTGGTATGTTACCACTTCCTTTTTAGTTTATTTATTTATAATAATGTTGAATGTTATCTTTTATTATTATTGCAGTGCCTCCTTTTCCTGCATTGTCAGGATATATAGTGTGGTATATCCTATATCCTCTAAACGTTATGAAAAATTATTTAGGGAAATGTGCTTCAGATATGAGACACAACTCAACTTATATATCTTCTTCTTCTTGTGCACTCCTTTACTGTAGATTTGTGATCACACGATTACTACATCAAAATGTTCTCTATTCTGCGCCACTCTTGGTAATTGTTGAACGTTAATGCCCGTCCAAGTTCTGATATTGCGAAGCCACTCTATATCTAGCGATTCTATATCTAGGAAACGTAAATAGCATTCGATTGGTTATACAATTGGTCAAGAAAATCAACAACTATTGATAGACACTGACAGGTTTGCATTAAAGGACTCCAGGAAACAGAATAACGAAAAAACAACACACGTATAAACAGAATAAAAAAAGGAACTAAAAGAAACAACTTAAATTTTGAACAAAGCAAAAAAGGTATCTCACAAAAGTGAATTGAAAAATCTGGTAAACGAGCTCGGTCGGTACTCAACCGGTGGTGCGGAGATTATAAGTCTCTCCATCAATGACTTTTGCAATTTAGCACTGTTCCACTATAAACTGTATATGATACATGATAATGTCGATTAGTTACCAATAATTTCTTTTATTTTATTCTAGGCAATAGTTTGCATAATGCTAGTATGCCTCATCAAGTAGCTTATGGTGCAATTATTACTCTTAAAAATCATCGGACTGGAGGAGGTTACCTTCACTCACATTTTCATTTATACCCGGAAGGAGTTGGAGCTCGACAACAACAGGTAAATAAATATATATCACCATACATGTTTTTTTCTTGATATTCTGAAGGCCCTCATTTTTTATTTATAACAAAGCACTGCAGTTTTTTTAATACATCGTTTAGTTTATAACATAGTGCGAAACTATATTTATAATTAGGATATTTTGAATAATTTTAGTAGGTATTACTGTATGAAGTGGTATTCACAAAAGGTTGATCCTGAACCGGTTCAGTAATGGACACCAAAAGATATCTACACTATATGATTCTGTTTTATTATTCCTATACTGCAAACAATAAAGCCAAAATATAGTTTGAGATTCAGAATAGACAACTGCGAACAATTTCTGAGCTTGCATGAGCAGCTGAATCAATAATTATCAGCCCACCTGAGTAGTATAGTATTTTATGATAACCTCTCATTGAAAATGGCGAAAACAAATCCGAACGGAACTAGTCCACAGGTAGATTCTGCCATTGTGGCAAATACGTATTGTAAAACTCTTTAGTATTATTTGTAGTCGCTTCAACACTAGTTAAAACATTTTCTTCAGTGTTTATAAATATACCATTTCCTTTTTTTTGTCTTTATCGAGAGGGGTCTGGAATCTTCAAAAGACATCTTAGTCCAGGATGCCGCCTGACTGACCTTAGTGCAGGATTCGTTCTTCGTACTTCCGGCGATAGTTCCCGAGGTACTTTAAAATGCCCTCTTGTCGCCGAGTCTACGCCGAACGCCTACCTGCTAAACTAGACCCTCTTCTGTAATCCAGCGATCCGGAAGCGGAATGGCCGCTGTAAGGCATCACTTCCGAAGCACTACCTTTATTCATTCATTCTCCATTCATACACATCCACACTCCATTCATCAGCAAGAAGGCTCTCTGTCTTGTTCCAGGTAGCGCGTAGAAGACCTTCATCGCTCCTAGTACGGCTTCATTCATCAATCCCAAACGGGCATTTAACATATACCATTACCTAGATCGCGCGATTCATCACTTGCAAACTTCCGTCACACTGTCGACATTTTATAATCAACAATAAACACATCAACTGACCACAGGCAGGACACTGGCGTAACTAAACATTTTTAAAAATGACCTAGTGCCTGTAATTACTTGGACGACGTTGCCGAACATAAAAAACTTTTAACTGAAAATAAAAACTGAACCAATAATAAGCTTTCAAGTACAGCTGCAGTTATATAGTTTTTTACTCGAACAATAATCTTAAAACAATCAGTATAAAATTAATTCTACAACCATTTTTAGGATTGTTGCTAAAAGTCTTTTCTCTCAGATCTCGAAGTGAAAAATGAAGAAATTTAATATTTATTTAACATCCTGCAACGTTGTGCTTTAGTTTCACTTGAACAAGAGAGACAGAAAATCTTAATCCATACAGAGATAATACGAGGATATCTTGTATAGCTTGGTTACGTTGCGTACAACGCTTCTTGTAGTAAAACAGATCTGTTAAGTAATATATTTGAACCTCTTCGTAAAACTTCAATTTTCAGTTGAAGACATGAAAAGTTTATTTCAAATCCTTTATAAAAGGTATATAATAAAATGCCCAAACGGGATATCACAAATATATTACAAAACGTTTTCGGATTGTTAAATCCATCATCAGTGTAAACGAGGTATACATGCTATGAGCCACCAAAATATATGGGTCAAAACCCTTTAAATGATCTAAATTTACAGTTGTTTTACATTATATGTGGTTACAAATTATGATGTTTAAGTTACTGTTGGAATTGGACATGAAAAGCTAATAGATCTAAGTGCAAAAGTAAAATTGTTGGGAAAAGTAAAAATCTGTACAGTTTTCAACAAAATACAATTTTATTTACAAAAAATGGTTTTAATCAAACAAGTTAATGTAAATAGATGGTTTTGTAATTTTTGTACAGTTTTACAAAAACGAAACAGAAAACGTATGTTAACCATATACTTTTTCAAACAGATCTAAGTTCATTGATAGGTTTCACTTCTAAGAGATCTAAGTCCATTGGTATGTTTTACTTTCTAAAGATCTAAGTGCCATCACATATTATTTCATAGTAGAAATCTCTGTTTTCTTCATCAATGAAACCTAACATGCTTCCTAAGTCCTTTTTTTGATTTCTGCTAGTGGAACCTTTGTTGGTAGAGTAGTAAGCTCCATGAAAGCTATGTATTTAATAGAAATATTTTTCTTGAGGGCGTAGCATTTTTTGTCAAACACAGTTTGAAGTTTTGTTCGTTGTGGTTTTTCTTGGTAAGTACGTAGCCAGCTTCTTTTTTATCAATCTTGAAATACGAAACTTTGGATATCATTAAATCTTTAGTGTTGATACACATTGCAGATGCTTCGTCAAAGTTAAAAAATTTATCCATGCTTAGCACTTGATATGGTCTTGATGGTCTGGCTGATCTAATTACGTTTTCCACATCTTTAACAGTTTGCATTTTTGCTACCTTAGATCTCTTTTCTATAACTGTGAAGTCCTGGTCTGCTGCAGAAAAGCTGTGACCATGTACCAAGAACTTAGGCTCTACAGACTCAAATAGACCCAAAAGGCCCATATACCAACATACCTGTATTTAAGGCTTGCAATATACAGGAAACCATCTGACTTCCTCCTCTCCCTGATTGACCTTCATTCCATACACTCATAATACCCGCATTGGTATCGGTAATATGAATATTAAAATTGTAGCAAGATAATTGTCTTAAATAATACATCAGGTACATCAGGTGCTTTGCCTTTGGCTGCTTTCTGGCTCATCGTTAGAACCGTGTAAAACCCATCAAATAAGAACCTTGGTCATTAAATCCAAGTTGGTGGTAGGACTTAAACAGTTTCCTCTTCATTTCAAATGAAAGTTGATTATTTTTACACTTGCAAATTACCTGAAAAAAAAAAAGAAATGAGTTAGGGTATATGTTTTGTATGGTAATGTGTAAAATGTGGATCGAATAGTGATACCGGTAACTAAAACCTATTCATTAGATTCTAATAGAAGACTGTTAAGATAAATAAACTTGTCATCAACAATCACACATGTACATAAACAGCAGAATTACCTAAATTACAAAATTTTGTTAATAAATATTATACTAACCTCTTCACACGACAGTGGCTTTGTAGGGATGTCTTTCTTTTTGTTTAGGGTAACATATGATTTGCCACTTAATCTGGCGGTTTTCTGTTTCTTCCTGAAGTTCCCACTAATTTTAGATTTATCACAAAAGGCTCTACTAGTATTAATATCTGTAGAAATAGACATCTTTTAAACAGGTAAACAAATACTAACCGTGGAGAATCTCACTGATTCCCACTGTACATCAACAAAATAGTTGGTTGACATCTGGCACATAGATCAACTAGCACTTCCATTGCTCTGGAACTTCAGCAGTGTATTGGCGTCAGGACATAGATCATTTTGCAGGAATAAAATGAAATTGCTAAATATGACCCTTAGATCGATTAGCGTTTCAGATTTTCAATTTACTTTGGATTGACTCTACATTGAAATTGATTACGTATTACGGTCTTTTATGTATTTAAAAGCGCGACTTGTAACAAAACATTATTTTTCTAGATTACTACCTATACTCACAAAGATGATAACAACAAATGGATCATAAAAAAATTTAACTCTGAAACAGCTGATGGAATTGAAATAATAAAAAACGGAGATTTAGTTCGTTTAGAACACATTCCAACAAAACGCAATCTACATTCACATAAGGAGCAGGCACCTATTACAAAAAAACATTTTCAGGTAAGATAGTTTTTTATAAATGTTGATATGAAGCGTAATATATTAAAAATTATATATATATATATATATATATATATATATATATATATATATATTATATATATATTTATATATATATATATATATATATATATATATATATATAGAAAAGGAAAAGAAGTCTTTGCCGACAACGTTAGAAAACGGAGCTATCAGGTTTATTGGGATTTTCAGCAGTGAAATAAGTGTACTCTTTTAACTAAGTTTCAAGCTTTCGAAAATATTTATTTTCATCATCAGGAAAAACTGAAAATAAAGTGCTGCTGTTAGTAAAGCATCCTCGAAATCTATTAAGTGAAAATGTTGTACAAGGAGAAGGAACACTTACGTTATTGAGGTTTATCTGGATGTTCTACTTACAGGTGACAATTTCACGCACCACTCATTGATTGAGTCAATAATTAAAATATATAAAAATTGCATGCATATATATATATATATGTAAATTGCATATATATATATATATATATATATATATATATATATATATATATATATATCAAATATTTTCCAAACCGTAATACTTTTTGAGTAACTGAACTCTAAGTCACCTTTACACTAATTTTATGATTTTAGTAACGTGATCTTCCAAACTATCGGAAAGGAACCAAATTATTTTAAATATTATCAGCGCTCAGCTGCTCCAGTTAGTCGCCTTTTACGACAAGTAAGAGATTCTGTAGGTGTTTTCTTCTAAGTAGCCGGCATCCCACTTCTTCTTCTTTAAGCGCCATTCCCAATCGGAGGTTGGATATCATCATCACTATCTTTACTTTACTCAATATTAGGTATTACCATCAGAGATAAAGTACCAAACCTAGAAATAAGAAGAAGAACAGGAGTCACAGATGCAGTTGAAAAAATAGCCATGACTAAATGGGCTTGGGCCGGACATGTTGCCAGATTAACGGATGATAGATGGACCAGAAAGATTCTGGAATGGCGACCAAGGCAAGATGCATATCGAAGCAGAGGACGACCACCGACTAGATGGACGGATGATATCAAGCCCATCACCACAAACGGGATGCAAGAAATTAAAAATAGAAATAGGTGGAAAATTTTACGGAAGGCCTACGTTCAGCAGTTGACAAATATAGGCTAATTGATGAAATTGATGATGAATTGATAATCAATATAAGGTTGAATGGTGGAATAATTGAACTTTGATGGTATCTTCTTTGGGTGCCGTCTTCAATGAAGGTTGGCGATAACCTCAGCAAAATCATTTCTGTCCCTGGCTTTTCTTATTATAGATTGAGAATCCAAACCAGTCCACTCACGAATGTTCTTCAACCAGGACGCCTGCCGTCTACCAGGACCACGTTTTCCTTCTACCTTCCCCTCTATAAGAAGCTGCAGTAGCTGGTATTTCTCATTTCTGTATATGTGTCCCAAATATGAGGTTTTCCGTGTTTTCATTATTTTTAAGAGTTCTCTGTCGGTACCCATCTTGTGTAGGACCTGCTCGTTGCTCATATGCGCTGTCCAAGGGACTTTCAGCATCCTTCGAAATAACCACATTTCAAAACTTTCCAAACGCCTTAGTGAGTTGATTTTGAAGGTCCAGGCCTCCATTCCATATAGTAAGGTGCTGTAAACGTAACATTTCAGCATTCGGTATCGGATTTTGAGATTGAGTGTTTGGGACGTAAACATTTGTTTCATTTTTAAAAAGACATTTCTTGCTTGTTCAATTCGCGATTTTATTTCTATGTCTGGGTCTATATCTTTCGTTATCCAGCACCCTAGATATCGAAATTTCTCGACATTTTCGATAATATTACCATTCACGTTTAAAGCCATAGGTGGATGGATGGATGTTTTGGAGACAATCATTGTTTTTGTTTTCTTGACGTTAATGCTGAGGCCGTATTGTTCTCCGATCGATCTGACGCGATCTAAGAGTGTCTGGAGATCCTGTGCGCTCTCTGCAATTAGGAACGTGTCGTCGGCGTATCGTACATTATTTAGAACTCTGCCGTTAATTTTAACACCTTCTCTTGATTGCTCTAGTGCTCGTGCAAATATTTCTTCCGAATATATATTGAAAAGTAGTGGTGACAATACACACCCCTGTCGTACACCTCGCTTGATATTGAATATTTCTGTGTCACCGGCTTCTGTTCTAACTGCTGCAGTTTGGTTAAAATACAGCGTTTGGATAATTTTAAAATCGTTCTCGTCTAGTCCCTTTTTGTGAAGGCAATCCATCAGCTTATCATGTTTTACTTTGTCGAAGGCCTTTTGATAGTCAATAAAACATAAAAAGAGATCCTTTTTTTGGTCTCGACATTTTTGCAGCAGTATAATAAAACTGGTTAATGCTTCCCGTGTCCCAAATCCATTTCGGAAGCCAAATTGTTCATCACTGATATCCTGTTCACATTTCTTATAATTGATGGTATACAAGGCAAATATCGAACACAGTAATTAATTAAATCTTGCCCAAGTACTTTCGATCAATGGATCATCCTCAGGGGCATTTCGTCAGTTGTGGCCTATCCGACATGAGCAGAATGTCATACATGTAAATTTGGACATAACAATATAATACACAAAGACAAACAAACACTTTAAAATTTTTAAAAATGGAGAAGATACATGTTATATAGAAGCCGGAGACAGAATCTGAATATGAAGAAGTATATAGATAATATCCAGATTTAGCCATACGGCTCACACTCCCTCTAAGGGGAAAATTCACTCATCCCAGATACCTACGGTATCAAAAGGATTGAGCTCTGGTGGGACTCTTTCCGTGTTATCGAGCCCTAGGTGACTTGGTATGTTGGAGTATCTCCCAAAAATTTTCGTACACATCTGGACGTCGCGAGGAGTACAGCTTTCTGCATGGCCCTATAAAGATGTTCATTTAGACCCAGCTGTTTTATGTTTGCTAGGAGGTTTTTGGGAATAACACCAGTAGTAGATAGAACAATAGGTAGTGTCTGGGTACTTTCCATTCTCCATTGTCTCCTGATTTGTATTTCTAGATCTCTGTACTTGGCGATCTTTTCGTTGTATTTAACACCTAAATTATTGGTGTTGAGTATCGCCACATCAATAAGTGTTATTTGTCTAGTAAGTTTATTAACTAGTATGAGATCCGGTCATTAGGTGAAGTATATTAATAATAAATTAATAACAATTTACTAAAGTTTGTATTTTGAGAACGATTTCCGAAGTGAAAATTGAATCGTCAATAAACGTATTTTAACCTTTTGTGGCTTATTCCCATTTAAATAGTAATTACTTTAAAATGCCACAAGAAAATAGCTTCAGAACTTTACAACTATTTGTTCCTAACAATCCTAATATAATTAAATATAAAACTTTGTGAACAAATCGCAATAAACAATTGTAACATTTAAAAAAATACAACCACTTGTGCACAAATTCACATTCAACTGAATGCTGAAATGCAGCACATTTCGATAACATAAGTACCAGTGTCATGTTTATAGGACAAAAAATAAAACTTATAACGACGCTTCAATAATTGATATTTTCAAGATTTATTCATAAATATAATTTATATTAAACACTACTTAACAAGAATAATCCAGTAAAAAATAAAATTTGTCCAATGTTTATATTTTTTATTGAAAGGATATTGGTAATATAATAAAACAAAAATTATAGTTCAGTTTACTGCAGCCTAAAATATATATATATATATATATATATATATATATATATATATATATATATATATATATGTTATATTGTTCCTGAAATTTAAACAAATTTCAGGGATTTAAAAAAGAATAAACTTTTCAATGTTCTATCAATAGCACGCTAGCTAGCCTATAATGGGTTAAATAATGTTCTTAATAAGCAACATCGTTTGCTCCAAACTTTTCGTTGATTAAATACCTATAATATTTACTTTTTTTAGGTGACAGGTTATGGTGAGAATGGAACTGGTGATGCTAACGACGTCTGGAGAATTACTATCACAGGAGCTAAAATTGGAGCAGAAGTTACAGCTGTCACTAGTAAATTAAAATTTGTGCACTACTTGCAATCGTGTATTTTAACCACTAGTGGAAAACAACTTCCAAAATGGGGTTACGAACAGCAGGAAGTCACTTGCAATCCCAATTTAAGAGACCAAAATGGATTATGGAACGTTGAGGAAAACATCTTCGAAAAGTGTGAGTACAGACATTTCTACATTTAGTTTATTTACATTATTTAATGTTTTTTTTGTTTATATTCTTTTATTTATTTTATTGGGTAATTTTTACCCACTCTTCTTTACAAAATACACAATTAAAGATATTACCTACAATTATCTAAAAGGAAGAGCTGGACTGGCTTGTGGGTCCCTTGACATGTTTTAAATGAAGTCCACTCTCGTATTTTGAATTTTACATAATAAATATTCTACTTCGGTCAATTATTTTAACACTTTAAGTTCAAAGATTAAAGAATTTGTTTATTTATTTGAGAATTCAAGCTTAAAATTTTAAAATTTAGTGACTATTTTGTCTTTAGTGCCCAACGTAAGTTTTGAAGTATACGCCCCAAGATTCCTTGAAAGATTTCTTGAGTCACACGCTGTGATGTTCCAAGGAAATGCCGGCTTAAAACCAAAAGAAGGGGAAATAACATCTCGTCCATGGCAATGGCCGATAAATTATAGAGTAAGTAAATATTTAAGCAAATATAAATCTGTTTGGTTTTATGAGTATATATTTTCATGAAGCGTTGAATTCGCTGTTGGAAATAATAAGAAAGTAACTTAAAAATACAAATTAAAAAGAAAAATTCCAGTGGTTGGCTCTATACCATAGTTTCAAAAACTTACAATGCAGTAAAATTTCAGATGTATGATATATTTGTATTAAATTTAAAAAAAAATTATCCAAACAGATTAAAATGATCTTCAAAATATTTTCGGTCCAGTCGGACCATCATCTGTGAAACCTGGAAGTAAGTATTTTCACAATAAAATGAATAATCCAAAGAGGTACAATTTTGACTGTTAACCCTGCGTTGGTGTGGTGAGGTGTGATACACCCCACGCATGCAAAAAATTGAATTTCTCTAAAAAACAGCATCTTACCGCCCTCTATTGCTCAGTAGCTGTTACTATAACATCACTCTATCGAGTAGCATTGTTATTTTCATAATTTATTAAATACCCACTTACATAGATGTCAAAATATACCGCAGGGGTATGTCACACCTCTGGCGTCAGTCAGTTAATCATTGTTAAGGCTCATCCTCGAAAATCCTAACGGTAAATTTCAGTTTGCTATCTCTATTTCAAAAAGTTCTTTCTTTACGAAAACAAAATCTGTTCATGAAGTAATATTCTAAACTTCGTTTAGATATCTCTTTCAAGCCCAGGTCAAAAATGCGTTTACCTTTTACTCGAGCCGATTATACACCGAGACAACCCCTGCAGTGACAGGTTTTGGCTTACAATAAGACCATAAATCTCTTTAGTGGTATTTTGAGTAAATATAATAACAGATCAAAGTAATATAATCTATTCATAAATTTACAATGTAACAAATGTACATACATAATTTATTTGTTATTTTTTTACGGAAAAATTGGCTGTCTGAAGTTTAACGTAGATTAAAGTTTACGGAAAATAAAAATTATAAAAAAAAGATTATTATTATATATCATAAAAATTTGATTAGTATCACGATCATTAAAATTGATAAAATGAAACGATATAAATATAGAATTATGTCTAATGTTTCTTCAGAAGGTGTTTCAAATAAAAATTATAATAAAAATCTTGAAATTTTTGTAGCATATTTTCCCACAGTTCCATATATTTATCAATCTTTTCGAATAAAATATTTTTTGGGGTCCATACCGCAAACTAACAAACTAACAGTATTCTCTATTCGATATAAATAACAAAATAACTGTCCTTGCACTGGATAGTAATAGAAATCAGTTCTTTTTAAAATTTCTTGGAAGGAATAATTTAGTCACGCTATCATTTCCAATTTTGATTTTTGATATTGAATTTTATAGGTTGTGATTTATTACACCAAAATCTAATAAAATATAACATGACACAAGAAATAGTTTCAGAATAAGTTTGATGTGTTGTTTATTATCATTCAGAAAGAGACTAATAATTTACTTCTTACAATGCTAATCTAACAGACAATTATTATTGTCAAATGAAAGAAATAATATAATTTACTTGTGTGCTTGTGGTTAGTAAACGTTCTTTCTTAGTTAGTAAACTTTCTACAGCATCTGAAATAAGCCAAGAAAAGTTTTTTTAAATGAAGAAAATTAATAAACTTCGATAAAAAACTCGAAGTTAATGGATGATAAAAGTTTTTTGTGATTAACATTTTAGACTTACTTCGTCAAATTTGGGCTATCCAGCAAGCGCAGATGCCCCTGATGATGCTGTAGAAAGCGAAAGTACTTGGGCAAGATTTGATTATTAAATTTGTGCTAGAAATTTGCCTTCATTTTTTAAAGTTCATTTATTCGAGCATTCAACCTAATATCAATAATTTAGGATGTGACTCAGGTATATGATAAAGTATGGCAAAGACGCCATAACTATAAACTAAGACTACATTTACCAAAACGATACTCTCAAATAATTGACTCCTCCATCTTGGAAAGATATTTCAGAATTAAACAGAAAGAAACATACATGGAATTGACAGATATTACAGCAGGGCTGCCACAAAGAAGTGTCTTTACCTTTTGTATACGTGTTATATTATTGTCCTAGAAAATATACAATTGCAACATTTACCGAAGATATTGCTATCATAGCAATATGCAAAACCAGCGAGGAAGCGACAAAGAAATTACACAGATGTTAATCAAATATATACTCCAGGGAAATAAGCAAAAAATAGACCATGTTCGTGACACTCAATAATCCAGGTCGCTGACAACTTTTTTAGTTATTGTAGACCTCTAGGAAGAAAACCTACTTCTTTTTTTGCCTTGAATTTGGAGCTGTTTTTTAATTATTGACAATTTAATGCAAAAAACGCGACTGTTTCTATGATTATTGATACTAGTATTAAAAAAATAGATTTTTGGAAGAAAATTGTTTTGCACGAATTGTTTAAACAAACTAGACTATTTATTAATTAATTAATATATAAACAAATTACTAATTCCTAATGTACGTAGAAATTACATACAAATTAAAAAAAGAATGATCAAAATTTATTGAGTAGATCCGGAGATATAGAAAATTTTATTAGTTTGAAATTGCTTGTTCGGTTTGGATTTGTAGGTTCTTCCTAGTCACCATTTGAACTACATTTTTGAAAATTCGTAGAGGGTCCTGTAAGGGTACAATGTTTGTGCAAATTTTTTAACAAAAAATACAAATCCCATTCCTTAACATGGCAAAAAATGAGGTTCCTTAATTATTATAATTAAATTAGCTGTGAATTATCATATTTTCTTTGACTTGATCTACTACTTGTTGTAATTGGTCGTAAAACACTTACCTTGTTGTTTGAGGCTTATTATTTTCTGGGCCGTATACTCCGATAATGTTCAGGTTTTCCTTCTCTATTCTTATCTTTGATGTTACTATCCTTTCTGATATGTATTGACACTCTTTGATGTAATTTTGATACCTTTGGTGTATTAGTAAGGCTACACCTTCTTTGGCTCTGTTTTCTTTTGCTACTCCACTGTAGATTAGTATGTATTCACCTAATTTTGATTGACCTTTTCCTTTATTTTTTGTTTGCTGTAGAGCACAAATGTCTATTTCTTTCTCTTTCAACACTTGGGTTATTTCTTGGTCCCTTGAGTTGAGTGATCTGATATTCCAAGTAATTCTCATCTGGGTTTTGGATGTTTTTCGCTTGTTCTTATTTCTTGCCGTAGTCGTCTTCATAGTATCAATCCGGTTCCGAGACTGTACATTGTTTCTTTGAGCAGTATTTGATTTTACGATTGGTAGGTTGCTAACCAATAAATATAAATAATTTAATTTCATATTCAAATACTGCAAATTTGGTTATTACTCTGAGCTCATGTAAAGAAGAAAAGAGAATAATAATTCTGATTGAAATACAAAAAAAAATGTACTGGATGATTGACCAAAACTCTACGCTGTTTCTATACAATAAATTATTATTATATAAGCAAATACTGAAACAATTGTATTATTATAAAAACAGTATAAATATTTAGAAAAAAAATGGAAAATCAACAGAAAATATTTCTATTCATATCAAAATTTAATAAAATTATAGGTACTTACTGCTTATTTATATAACATTTCCTATTTTAAATACACTAACCACACTGGTTTGTCAAAAGTCGGAATAAGCCCTAATAATGTTATTCAACTTTATTTATCCTCCTCCGAGGGTTTTACCTACCTGGCGAGAATCCAGAAGCTACCGACAAGGACACCCTGTGCTGACGGAGAGAAAATTGCGTTTAGCAAAAATTTGAATTTTTTTAAAAGTTTATATCAAATAGCTGCTTTATGTTACACTTTACGTTAAAAATAAAAACAGATTCGGAAAGTGGGTCAAATTCTGTAGTGCCCTATTTAAAAAAAAAATTTTCGTTTATTTTAACCAAAAATATTTGAAAAAAAATATTGTTTAAACAATTTATTAATTTACAACCAAATAGTGCACTAGAACTTTTTTAGACCTTCCATAAAAAAAAATCATCTCAATATCTGCCATAGTTTTTGCGTTATTTGATATAAACTTTTACATTGGAATTTACCTATGCCCAGAATCGCGAGGATCGGCCTTAATGCCTGGACATTTGGTTGTTGTGCTCAAAATTTGTTATGAATATGTGTAGTTATGAACAAGAGCAAGCAAGGTTGCTAAGATTCTGGGAAGAGGTACAAAGTGATGAAGATGAGGCTATTCCTGATTCCGAAGACGAAGTGCAGCTCGACAATATTAGTGAAAGTTCTCATGACACAGACACAGATCAACAAGGCGACGAAGATGAAAGTGAACAAGAGAATGGAGATGATGTGAGTACATTTGCCTAGATATTATTGGGACACAGATAAAGTGATGAAATGGGCTAAAAAGGTAGAACTACGATCGGTTCGCACTAGAGCCGAATATATAATTTCTTAATTGCCTGGCGTGAAACGACACGCTAAAGAAGCTTTTCATGGATGACATAACCATTGCTGATCAAGGCTGTATTTGGATTACTTTATTTAGCAGGAATTCATCGATCGTCCCGGCGAAACCTTGAAGATTTCTGGGCAAATGACGGCACAGAAATGCCAATATTTAAGAAAACTGTGTCTCTAAAACGCTTTCAATTTCTGCTAAGGTGTTTGCGGTTTGATAATGGAGCTGCATGCGTAGATAGAATCAAAATCGATAAATTAGCGGTGTTTTCGAAAGAGTAGTTGACAATTTTCAGTCTGCCTATACACCTGGCATGTATCTCACTGTTGATGAAAAACTGGAGACATTTCGTGGCAGGTGCTCTTTTCGGCAATACATTCCAAATAAACCGGCTCGTTATGGAATGAAACTATTTGCTTTAGTCGATTCAAGATGTTATTATACTACAAACATGGAAGTTTATTGTGGTTCTCAACCGGATGGTCCTTTCAAACTGAGTACAAAGCCTACAGATGTAGTTTGACGATTGATTTCACCATTGTCTGGCAGCAAAC